ATTAAATTTGCCATCGTTTTTATTTTATTAGTTAACTACTTAATCTAAAAAGTAAAAAAATAAAAGCACAAGTTTAAATTAAGATATATATTTAAAAAACCTCAAAATAAGAATATATCATAATAATCGACATGAACGGATTCATACAAGTTTCGAATGTTTGATAAAAATAAACGCCCAAGAGATATAAAAAATTATGTACATTTGTTGATAGTTTTAGAAGCCAATTATCGTACCAAATAATCTCGACACGTGTGAACAAAAAAATCAGAGCTTATCGCTTTCAAAAGTCACCATGCATTCTCGAAAACCGCGTGAGTTATGTGTTGCACACATCTAAATTGCTTTTTTTATAAGCGCATATTTAGAATTTGGGAATTAATATTTAATTTTGAATTGGATTTAAAATCATAATACGCATTTGGTTATTTAAAACATTGAAAAATATACAAGATTCGTTCAAATTTCGAATTTGACATGAAAAAAAAGGAAATATAAATACATGTTACGCAAAATATTTTAAAAAATATTGGAAAAAGCAAAAATAATTCCAAAACTATATGCGTCCGCTTACTGGTTGATAACATAATAAATGCAGTTTTTAAGAAACTTGTGTTTTTTTGGAAAATCACATGGCTAAAAAATATTCATTACCTGCTCAGTCTTGTCACAATTTACTCGGAACTAGAAAACACAGAAAAAGTTATTATAATCAAGAAAATTGTAAAATATGAAAACCAGATAAATATGTTTTATAATAGATAAACATAATGCTGATACTAAAGTATTATAATAAATTCTACAGCATTCTTTTATTGCTAACATTTTGTACACAATATTACCACCCGTGTACCTATAATTTATAATCGGACAATAGGGTATAATTTATTATTTCGTAGGTTTTGTGGACTGAGCCTTAAAAAAACATTCGAGTGCCAAATTCGACCTTGACAAACCATAAACGAATTGCCCTCAATCTTTGGAAAATCCCACGTCAACGCGTCATTTTTTCTAATTTTCAACTGAACAGAACAGTAGGTACATGTCAGGTTATTATTATTTTATTAAACGAAAAATATACCTACCAACAACATTGATTGCAGATTCTGATACACTGTATTTTATCGTATTATTTAAGTGTGATGTTTATTGGTAAAAACCGTTCGAATAAAATCTAATCAATATCCATATTACGCACTCGAATCACGATTTATATGTGAACGTATACAATGCTTTGCAGACCGAAATCCCGCAAGTAACTATTCCTGTAATAAAATATAGACCATAATACAGTATATAATAATTATTACAAACAAAACTATTACATGCTGAAATAGACGTTAATGTTTGTTAAGTTATTAATTATATGACCGATTGAAAGTGTGAACATAATAATATATATCAAATAACGACTTCGCTTAATAGATCTACCATTACTTTCTATCGGAATAATTGTTCGTCGTACACGATATCGAGGAATGTCTTTCGTTGAAATGTTTGTCTAAAGATTTTAAATCACACAATTGGTAGAAAACTTGTATGCGACATAATAAACTGTACGAACGTTCGATTTATAAAATAAAAACTCAAGATACGGCTTGTTACGACACGTTATCGTTTATCCCCCGACGACTTTGGCCGTATGTTCAATGAATTCGAATCGCGTCGGTTGACGGTTTTTACACGTCTCGCCCCAGGGGTGTGTTTAAATTTTATTTTTTTGGGAGAGGCTGGGGAATTTCCTCGAAACAAAATGTCACCATTCAACCAGTTCAAATCAAAAACGTTACTTGTTAAAATTAAATTTTACCGCGTGGTTGTCCGCGAACTCGAAACCGACTGCCGCCGCGGTAATCGAACGAGATCAAACAATCGCTTGCCGATTACCGCGTGCGGTATCGTAAACGGTACGCAGATCAACGGGATCGGTAACCGAAGCGACCGGACGTCCCTCGACGTTATCGCACGTCGTACGATACGCGTTTTTGTCGCGCCGTCGTCCGTAACGCGCGTCAAACGTATTCCACGCGTGGAATAAAATATATATTTTTCTTCTCTGAATCACATCGAGCTTTAATAATTATTACGTGAAGACAAACATTATTTTGTCATATGTCAATATCTGTTATAATAGTTTGACTAATCTTCATGCTAAGACGATCCATAAATGTCCTTTTTGTTTGGTAGATAATCCTCAAAAAATATATAAAAAAATATCTAGTAGGTACGCTTAAATATAATGATATTAAAAGAATTTTATCATATACTTAAACACAATACTAAAAAACTGAATTCTAATACTACATGTATTTAATTATATTTTGATAACTAAAATATTTTTTTTTTGTCATTAGTTTAAAAACAACCATACATTAAAATATTTTTCGACCCTTAGGTTGAGAAACTTTGTTTTAAAGCACCTTCCGCCGATACTAATCAAACGATAAAAATAAATATGCGACAACGGAGTTCAATGTTGCGGTGTACTGTGTAGGATGTGATGAGTTTACACGCCTAGTCGGCCCGGGGCGTAAAGTTTATAGGGAACGTCAGAGGGGACCTTAACAAGTTATTATTAAATCACACGCCCCTTATCCTGACGAGATTATTCTTTTTTCTTTTAGGGGAGGGATGAATATATAAATCTTTGCTACGAGTTGATAATGAAATGTGGCACTGAATAAGTGATGACTGTATCATATATTATGAAATTAATTAAAATACACTGAAAAGTATATGATATCAATTTAAAAAAAATATATCATCAAATATATTTGAAATATACAAATATACAAAACATACTTGCAACAGAGACAATCATTGTTCTAACTCATCCTCCATCTTATGCTCTCATCCTCCAAATTATGTACTAAACGATTTTCAATTTAAAACGGACGTTGATCAATAACCGTAAATTATATTTTACCAAATTATATGGGTAATTCACATTAGCATATGATTATATATAAATTTATATATGTATATATATAATTGCATATATTATGTGAAATAAAATTGATTATTAACTAGATTCAACATATTTTCCAAATCCAAATTATTAAACAAGAACGCAGAATAACTATTACCAATATTATAGAATAATGTACAATCGATAAGGAATGCATGTTTTATTCTTAATTTTTTTAATTTCAACTAATTTTAAATTTCATTTGTATCGTATCTAAAAATAAAAATAATTTTTTTAGGAAAACCCATGTTTTTTTATTTGATTTGTATCTACGTAATAACAATATTTTAATCATAATGCTATTCCTTTTTTTTACGACGCTAATCGTAAAGGTAATATTTCTACTTTATAAATATAACTTTTTTCATATCTAAAAATGTATATAAATTAATCGTTTTGATAGTTTTGCACTTTGTATCTGCCCAAAAAAATTCCTCAAATACATTTTCAAACGATGGAGTGCTGAAGATAATTGTTATTCAGTGGTAGGATACACTGAAAGTTTTATGAATAATTTTAAAATTTTGAATATTATTGGATAAACATCTGGACTGGTTTAGTGTACATTAATAGCACTTTTGCTCTTGAATTCAGAAGAATTCAAATGAAGTTGAATAATTAGTACACCGCACGTCTAATTATCCGTTAAATATGTTTTCATTTAAATTTGAATCGGTGCATTCATCAATAATATCTTGATATATTTCTAATAATTGTTTAAATTCAAGTTAATTATTATTTTATTGATTGGATATTTTCAAATAAAATCAAAATTATTCAAAACAACTCTGTGTGATGTAGGTAAACCTATCGTTAAATTTATATTGAAAATTATCTACAAAAGATATGAATACTGAGACTTTTAAGAAATATACTGGACTATCTTATTTGCATTGCCGTGTCAAGCTATTGGCAATTTCAAACTTTTTACAAACAGTTTCTACAAATGAAAATAATTGTTGAGAATCTAGATTAAAATTTTCTCGGACGTCTTGGATATTATTTTGTACGTCAGATGCCGTTTTTAAATCAAGGTTTTCTGTTTGTAGATTTCGGCTAAGAGAAAAATTAACGTAAAGTATTTTCACTGAAAATAGATAAAGCTCTTTGAAATTATATCTACTTTATCGCCACAACAACGAGATGACTTGGAGAACGAGAACGAGTGGCAGAATGCATTCATGTAATTTTAAATAATGCATGTAAAAAGGCTGATTGAAGTCCTTCAAATAGATATTATGACCAAGGGCAGAATAAATTACACAGATAATACCGGATACGAATTATGAAAATTACAAAGACATGAAAGAATTGTGTTACAAAAGAAAAAACACGGAGAGCTGCGACATACAAATCTACAGATTTATAAATAAAAAATAAAAATAAAACATTATCTGTAATGTAGCGTTTTTATTGTTTCACTAACAAAAATGGATTCAAAATTATTTAAACATTAACATTTATACAGTTATAAACATTTTGTTTAGCTATAAAAAAAATATATAAAAATAATAATTATAAAAAATGTTTTTACAATTGATACAGATATTTATTTTTTAAGTAATATAAAATCTACATAATAGATCTTTTCTTCTGTTCTCTTTTTTATAATAAATAAATGAGCTTATACTAGTACTCTGCACGGTCTGTAATTTTAAAAACTGAACCCGACTGAAAAAGTTAACAAAGGACCAAACTCGGAACGAACAAATTGCTAAAATATTTTTTTTTAAACTGGCTGAACTGAAAATTAAAAATAATTGTTAAGGTGGACAGAAAACCGAACAGCCAGTCCGAACAAACGAATTTCGGATTTCGTAATAGTTTATGGACTGGACCGGACCAATTCCAATTATTCTACCGAACCAAACCGAAAATATAATCTGATAATCTGGAAAAAACAATTAGAATTGAAAACATTTTTAATTGTGAACATTTTGAATTATACCACATAATTGGTACTCGTAATTAATATAGATTTAAACTGTATTACAAAACTGTATAAAACGTATAGTATATACTCGTAGTACATAGAAAAGCACATACTACATTGTTTATAAATACAAATTCTGTTAGACTTTGCGCTGCTACCAAGCTGTATACAAGCCTTTCCATGTTACCCGTACCATAACGAGAATAATTGCAACCATTGTTCTTGAAAAAACTTTCGATAATACCTAATTACAAAAAATATATGAAATGAAAATGAAGTAAATTTCATAAATTCTGTACTAATAATTATTAAAAGGGACCGTGTACAGCTCCGAAATATATAGGTACAAAGTACATAAACAATAGTGCAGGGATAAAATATTGACCCCTATGATAATATACATGTTATTAATTCTAAAAATAATGTCTTTAAAATTTAAAACCGCTGTTCAACGGACTTTAAACGAGCCGTAACCGCCAAACTGGGACCGACCGTTCCGAAACGAACTGACCTGATTTTATTTTAGAAACCTGATCGAAATATCTCATAAAAGTACGGAGTCAGACCGAACCGATCCTTCGCCAACCTTCAGACAATAAGACCGGACCGTGCAGATTACTACTGTCGTGCAAACAAAACGGTCCAAGATGTTTTATCCTTGAATCTCGTATAGTTTTCTCAGATAGCTTCAATTATTTATAATCTGTACTTTTGTAATCAAATGTAGCTGTTATACTATCATAACAAGTTTTTTACACGAAAATTTAGTTATATTTTTCTATTACATCATTTATTTTTCACCAAATATTTTGGAATAAATTACATTTAATTTGAGCAACATCAGTTAAAATACGAGTCTTTTACTCTTAGACTTACATTGTAGGGCCCTATTTACATTTGTGGGGGAGGGGGGTACGAGGACACATATCCCGACACCATTCCCGTGCACCTTACACATAAATGATATATCTATAAACGCCTATGACCATCTTGTATTTATGAGTAACGAAACCAACGGAACTAATACGTCAATTTTATTTTAAAGTTTATATTCTTCTTGCCACTCGTAGAAAAATGTATAATTAGACCATGGTACTCAAATTTTTATTTAACTATGTATTTTTTCTTCTTATCACTGAAATAATTGAAAATTTAATATTAGGTACTTAATTATTCTAATGTTTCAGTTTATGGGTATGTTAGATGTTAAAATAAGTTAAATATTTATAACAACCCTAACCACCCTTTAATACATCATTGGTTTTATTATTTTTAAACTTGATTTAATGTACAAAGTCAAGATATTTACGAATCACCACATTAAGGGTTCAAAAAAAGAAAAAAAATATATATATATTTATATTTTCAATGTTTCCAAACTAAAATTATTGTTTATACATAAAATTTTATTATTCAAATAATACATAAATAAACGCTTTCGAAATTATTTCAGTTAAAATTACATATATTTTATGTTTGCAATTATTCCAATACTAACAGTATAAAATGTATCTTCTAATTATTGGTTGAAATATTATTTAAAATATATGCAATTATCATCATATTATTGAAATTACTTTATTGGAAAAATAAAACTAGATAATATAAAATGAAACAATTTTGGTAGTTGGAGATCCAATTTAGTTAAATTATTTAAAAATCAGTTATTTTAGTAAAAACATGCCTTAATACCTAGGTAAATATAATTTGAACATCAAGAAATGGAGAATTTCACTAAAGAATGGACATTTAACTATTATAAATGTATCAACAATAAAATTCTAAAAACATTTATCAAAAACAATTAAATATTTAATAAATAACTTTATATTTTTGATAAAATTATGGGATACCATTAGTCTTATATTTGCATTTTTTGAATTGAGACTTGTTTTAAAAATATTTTCAAAAAATATCTGCTTCTTTAATATCAAATACTTTTTTGGATACATAATTAAACCAGTATTCAAAATATTTTTCAGGCGCAGATATGCGTTAATTGAAAAAATTATATTTCATAGGATTTTAAAAAGTAAAAAAAAATAGTACGCCAATTTATCAATTACACATAACCACAGTCCATTTGTTCCAAAAAAGTATTTCTGTGACAATATATTTTTATTTTGTAGACTGATAAAAATCTATTAAAATTAAAACAAAATAATAATAATAAAAATAGAAATAATAATAATAATAATAATAATAATAAAATAAAAAAAACAAACGGCGGAGAGAGACAAGATTTCCACGCGCTGACTAGAAACTAGAACAATGTTTTTACATTTAGGTGGTAAAAAAAAAAAACTAAATTAAAAATCTTCAATGAAATTAGCACATCAAAAAATATTAAATTACATAAAAAAAAAAATTAACAAAGACAATTTTATAGTCTATAAAAACAATTGCAAGATGACAGTTTGCATCGTTCATAAATATGAACAAAATAAAATATAATACCTAGTTTTAAATAGACTTTACTGGTAACATTTATTTTCACTTAAATACTAACTTTTCCACTAAAGTTAAATAAATTACATTGGCAAATGTCCATTACTCATTTTTTTTTTTTTTTTTTTTTTTTTTTGTCTGCATGGAAAGCACTGTAAATAGCAACCGTATCACCACTTTCAAAACTAATACTATCATTATTCACATCTTCTTCATACGTAGCACATAGAGACATTAACGATTATTAATCAGCAGGTGCTTCGTCATTTGCAAGATGATTGTGATAAAATGAAACTGATCTAAAAAAAAAAAAAAGGTAAAAATACTGTAATAATATAATTAATTTAAATATTTTACAAAATCCACCTGAAATTATCATCTAGATAAATATCAAGAGTTTTGACTATTTTTAGGAACTTTGGTCGCTGAGAAGCCATCCAACTCCAACACAATTTGACGATAGCAGCTAACACATCAGGACAGAACCTCGGTAAGTTTAACAAGTGGCCATCAAGTACATATGCCATAACCTCATTGTTAGTTTTGCCAGAATATGGCTGTGCGCCCAATGTTACAATTTCCCAAATCACAACACCATAACTCCAAACATCTGATTGACTAGTGAATATACCTTCACCTAGACTCTCGGGCGCCATCCACCGTATAGGCATTTCACCTTTATTTCCTTTACGGTAATAATCACCGTTATAGATTTGTCGACTCATGCCAAAATCACCAATTTTAACTGTCATATCATTAGCCACCATACAGTTACGTGCTGCCAAGTCACGATGGATAAATCTATTATATTCTAGGAACGCCATACCATCAGCTACTTGTGCAGCCATCCGGATAATAGTAAGCCTAAAATATGAACATATAATCATTAAAATACATTAATACACTTTTATTCAAATTTTTTTTAATAGTTACATGTTAGGTGGAGGTGGATTATCGGTTTCCTTACACTTTACCAATACACTTTTCAAATCACCACGGCCCATGAGTTCCATAACCAACAGCGGTGGATGGCTTTTGGTTACTACACCAAGTAATTTTACTATATGGTATGCTTCACTAAACTTTTTCATTATGGCTGCTTCATTTAAGAATTCTGCATGATATCTCAAAAAGTTTGTCTTGCTTACAGATTTCACAGCACAAGGAATATTCTGAGACATAAGTATACCTTCATGCACGGTACCAAATGTTCCTCTACCAATAATTTTTTGTATTACAACATCTTCTCGATTCAACTCCCATTCATCTTCAACTAATATGCCAATATAACCAGGATTATTAGCCAGACTATATATGTTATTACGTTGCAATAATTTTCGACTAAAGTAAGTACGTATAATAACACCCATTAATATAATTAATATACAACCACAAACAAGGATCATAAGAACCAAGTGTAAATTTTCAAGGGAATCCATATTGGTAACTTCAAATACTTTCAAACTAGTAAAAGGCCCCTCGCCAGCTAATGAAACTGCTTGGAGTTTATAATGATATTTACCAGGCACCATATTCTTGATAACATATGATCGGCCAGCAGATTCATATTCTTTCATTGTAATACATACAGACACATAATTTACAACATCTACACGTTTGTAATCCAACTTGAAACTATGTATTAGGCTATTTATCAAAGTTGGTACCTCCCAGGATATGTTGACTGTATGGTTGTTCACATAAACACGTATGCGATCACTATCAATAACATCGGCTTCTTTATTTTTTGATGTGCGAACTAATATCAATGTCTCTTGGCTACAAGAGTCCACATGTTTACTAGAATTTAATAGCTCTTGTTCGACAACCTCTCTACAGACCAATATGGACAACACATATCGACTGAAATGTTTTAGACGTGTAAGAGTTTTTGATGTTTCATTTTCATTTAATTGATAGAACAAATGAGACATGCTACCATCTATTTCTGTAATATTATGTAATACATTACTGACTGACCACATTTCTGTACAATTCTCATTCATATTATTTTGAAAATAAGTTTCATCACTGTGTTGCATAGCCATACACTTTGAATTAATGAAAGTATTAAGAAAGTTACTGCATGTTTCAAACATCAACTTGCGACTTTGAATTGGAATCAAATCAAAGTCAATGCCATGTTCAAAATCATTACACATATCAATGTCAGTATTTTTTTGCTGTTCACATTGTTTCTCACATTTTTGGTCAGCATATGATTGCAGTTTACTTATAATTGATGGGGAAGAATTGTAGCTCTCCCTATCACCTCTAAATGTTATATTTTTACAGTAACTACGTTGATCCAAAATGGCTTGGTCGTCTTTTAAATGAAATCCTTTGATAACATACTTAACTAATTTACCATGAGGGTGTGAAGGAGGTTTCCAAGTCAGTTCCACTTCAGAACTAGACACTGGTTGAGCTGTAAAGTATTGAGGGGTGGACGGTTTTGATGGAAGAGTCTTATTACGAAATATATCACTCATACTAGTTGTGGATGCAATTGTATAAGTCTTAACATAATAAATGTACTCTGTGTTTGGCTCTAAATTAGTAATGACATGGTAGATTTCAGTCTCATTAAGAACTCTTTTGGAACTAATATCATCAATTTTCCAACTAGAACCTTCACATTCAGTAGTTTCAATGGTTTCATTCCATTTAGCTGCTTCAATAAAATAAACTAGAAATCTTTCTAGATTATCCACTTCTACAGGTTTTTGCATGCGTATAACAATAGATTGTGTTTCGATTTTAACAGTTTCTACTAATAAATTATAAACAATGCATGCAAACTGATCTCCATTAGATATATTTGATACTTCTATATCTGAAAACGCAGGCAGAGATGATAAATTTCCAAACTTATATATTTCTGACATACATAACTTAGGGTTATAATGAAACGAAACTGTACCATTCAATATCTTTACCGCACGGGTTTCATTTTCCTTGGTAGTCCATAATTTTTGTAAATTCTTATTCCCACGTACTACCAAGGCTATTTTGTTAGCTGTATTTTCACCGCGTATTTCATGTAAATTTCGCAAGAAATTCAATGAAGTCAATGAATATGACCGTATAATCTTTAGCTGATCCAATATAACTTCAACTTTGCCAATATACTCTTCCAATCGACGTTCTACGTCTTCGCTAGTTCCAAACTTGACTTCAATCTCTAAAGATTTGATAGTCGTGCAGTTAGTATGTAGCCGGTATTCATCATTCCTCCTTAATACCTCATCACTAATCTTGAAACTGTTACAGTTACGTTGACAATTTCCATTTTTAGTTTTAGTACATAATGTACAATTCTTTTTATCAGGTGTAACTTCAAACCCATATGGGCACTCTTCACGACACACACGATCAAATGGAATATAATTTAAATTCAAGTCATCTGGAGTAGATTCTTCTCTGGTAACTGGTATACGGCAACATTTTTCACCAGTTAAACATTCCCCAAGATGACCATAACTAAACAACATAACAAATATCAATGCGCTGAATAAAACAAAAAGTAAAGTTAGATAGTTTCTAATTAAACTTACAGGCCATGGGGGCATTCTTTAATACATTCGCCTTTATACAAATATGCAGTACAAGCAAAACAATGCTTAGCAGAGTTTGGTACATGACAACCACCGGCACATAAAGGATGGCAACCTTTTAATCGGCCTAATTGACATCGTCCATGCTCCTGTGACCAACATCTATCTTCTGGACATCCTGAATTTGAGCACCCTTGACATTTATTTGCAGCTTCATTATCGTTGATTATGTTAGCATCATTACTAACACCATTAGTGATTTGGCCCCAATCAATTGTATTGGCATAACACAATCCTAAAAAAAAATAAAAAATAACTTTAATATATGAAATATTATAGTTAGATTGTATTGTTTAATAATTTCATCTAAGAAATATAATTGAAATTCCTACGTAGATAATACATCTCACGTTTTATTTTCTGTTACCATGAATAAGTCATATACACTATCTATAAAATGGAATTCGAAATGGTAATAGTGATCATCTTATTTTTGATATTATTTTAAGCTTATAAAACCACAAAATCATGTTGTTACCCATCACGTTGCTTCTCACTGTAATTTTATATTTATTTGTACATAATTTATTTTTTAAGTATTATGTTTAAAGTTGAAAATATGAACTTTAGCAACTTTTTTTTTAATCCTTGGAAACTTTCTTAATTACTCTCGATATTTTCTTACGTATAAATGTACGCTACATTCATGTCCTCGAGCGGGAAAATGCCGAGATTTATTCTACACCGAATTTTGCGTAATAAATACCCTAAATATGACGTCCACATGTAGGTATACATCTGTGCGTAAACGATCAACTTCAACACATAGTGGCCGCTATCTTGTACCTCAAATGTATCGACAAATACACATACTTTAACGGAGGTCCTAGGTTTAAACTTTAGAGCCCAGAAAAGACGGTCGATATATCTTAACCTTAAAGGTGGCCACACACTATTGGTTTTTGGTCAGTGTACAATGTGCGAACTTTTCTTTTTATCATCTGTAGTATGGCTGTTGAAGCTGTTGTAGCCAAACACATGGTATGTGATACCGGTTAAAAATAAAACATTCCTACTTAAAAATTTAGTGCGTTTAAAAAACGTGGAAGCTAATAAAAACCGTAGAATGATAACTGAAGACAATTTTGTTGTGTGTGGATGACTTAGCGTACGAATAAAACGATCAGTTCAAATCGAATACCGAACAACGATGAAAATCAAAGTAGTATGTGTGAGGGTAAACGGTGTATGAACAAAATATATAAATTAACAGTGCAGTTTTCTTCGATCCCGATAAACCAACAAAAATCCGAGTGTTTGGCCACATTAAGATCTCATAAATAGTACTTGGATACCGGGTGAGTAGATATTTATAAAAATTATTTTATTGAGTTCGATATACTTTATTATATAATAAATATGTGCATGTGAAATAAATTATCAATATTAGCGTGCAGCAGCACTAAACTATACAAAAAACCACCATCCGTTTTACATACAAAGTATTTATTATTATTTTTTCGTTACGCGTCTGATGAAATTTATTACGATTATAGCATGTTCAAACAAATTGCACGAATCGGTCTTGAGACCGATGATTCGTGAAATGAGAAGAAGCCACTCAGGCATTGTTATAATACAAGTACAGGTCGATAGAATAGTTGCACCTAGTTCCCGGCATAAAATACAAGTGTATCTCACGGACGTTTTAGATTTTTCTAGTAGAAAATATATAAAATCCCATAAGCTGTGTCCCGTATCCCACACCGACAATTCCTATATGCTTTTTTTACAACCGACACCTGTGGTGGTAGTGATGGTGTGACCACATGCAGCCGTCGATTGGGACAGTCAGTGGCGCATTTAATATATACGCGTCCCGGGGCAAAATAATTTTTTCGCCCTTCCCCTTTATCAAAATATATATATATATATAAATAAATTCAAAGCTAAGAAATTAATTAATTAATTTTATGAAACAAATTATAAATCAGTTGTTTTACGATATTGTATTAGATAATTTTATAGTAATATATATCCTAACGTTAACCTAATTTTTTTCTTTTCAAAGTGAATATTCCTCTTTTAAAAAAAAATATATATATATTAAATATAGAAAACGGAATTAACACTTATTATATGCACAATGATTAACAATACATGGTTTTTATTAGATTATATATACTATATTTATTATTAATTATATATATATATATATATATAATAAAATAATCGATAGCTTACAATTTTTTTCTTGACTTTTGAGAAGAAAAATGTTCAATAATATCATTAAAATTAATAGTTTTCGTTAAATCAGCTTAAATGTCCAGGTTTGTTAATTAATTAAGATGATTTTCTCCCGTTGTTGATCTTAAATAAGTTTTGACCCTTTTTAATGTAAAAAATGATTTTTCCGTTGAACAATTACTTGAAGGTGTACATACATAGTAGCATCCTTAGAGCAATATCAATATAAGGATATACTTCAACTAAACTATTCTCTTTTATAAATGCTAACATACATTGAACACTTTTAGGTACAATTTTACTCCGTTTGTAAACTTTTTAAATGTGCCCTAAAGTGAATACCGCGTTCTGTGTACCCGATTCTTTATTAAAAAAATTGAACGAAAATATAATATCTTATCGAATAATAAATGTAATATATCTATTTTGCTATTTTACTATTACCTAGGTGACTAGGTATAGTATAAATTTTTTTAATTTCTTATTAGATACTCAACAATATTTTTTAAAATACTAAACAATACCGAAAAAGGTGTGAAAATTAAAAAAAAATCATGAATTCATCAACAATAAAAGTTAGAATATTTTGCCGCTCCCAAAAATTTGCCACCCGAGGCATTTGCCCCTTCCCCCCCTTAAATTCATCACTGGGGACAGTGGCGTATATAGGGGAGGGCCATGTGGTCTATAGTGAAATTTTAGGTGAGAACATTTTAGGTCATTCAAGTACTGTTTTTAATTTGTATACATTGTAAATAATCATGATTTAAAGCCTAAAAATAAAAAATATTAATATCTAACGGTTAATTTCTAGTTCGTACTTTTATAATAAATAGCCGATGAAGTGATAACGAATTACGTGGAACGAGTGGTCATGATACGCTATTTTTAGAAAACGGTGTGTTCATAAAAAAAATTAGCCCATAGCGAAAACCATTTCTATACACGCCACTGGATTGCGGGGTAATCGTCTGAGAAACAAAACTATCGGAAAAAAAAAAGAACGACAAGAGAACGACTCACGAGCATTTCTGGATATGATGATGGAGCCCCGGGTAATGTTGGTCAAGCTGTACAGCCCGATTTCTCTGAGGTCCCCGTTGTCGTGAATCATCAGCGACAGCCCGGGGAAAGTGGACTGCGGGCTGTGCAGGCCGCGGATCAGCATCAGGTTGGGGAACAGTTTTCCCAGGCTGGTGAGCCCGGCCACGCGGTACACGACCAGGTATTGGGTGATCTCGCGCAGCTGTGGGAAGCTGATGATGTCGAAGTCGGACGGCTTGGTCGCATCCAGCAGCACGATCTGTACATGGCCCCGGATGACGGTGCAGTTGTGCAGCTGGGACAAGCGGTCGCCGGTGTTGCGCACCACTATGCTGCCGCACACCTTCTCCTCGTCGGCCACGGTCGCAGCGGACAGCGACCACAGCCAGACCAGCACGGACAACCACCTGGTGGCGGCGTTCATGGTGATCGGCAGTTTTTGAGCAAAAATTTGTACTTCATTTTTCGGAAAACGTGTGTGTGTCTATGGGGGAGGGGGCAAACTATATTAACGTTTATAACAAACAAAACGGTATTAAAAAAAAAAAACAAATTCGTCTAGTTGCGCAGTTTTTTTTTTAAATTTATTTTTTTTACGAAACGTCCGTCGTTTAAATTGTTTTTCGCCAGTGCCCGGGCGCGGCAAACGAGGTAAAAACACTATTACGCGTACGACTCGAACACTATTTGCACGTGTTGTATATATACGTGTGTATAACAATATTATGATCTACAAGTGTTAATTATGTTCAGCGAACGACCGCGCGGTCGGTTCACGCGTCACATGGTGTGCACACCGCGGCGTCGGTGGCGATCATCGTTGACTGAAAGCGCGTGGCGCCCCCCGACACTTTACGGCGGCGATGCCCGTGGCTGCGGCGGCGGCGGTGGTGACGACGACGTCCGTCGTGACGACAGCAACAGCAGCGACGTAGGCGGCGACGTAGACGACGGCGGCATCAACGGCAACGGTGGCGGTGGCGGTGGCGTCGATGGCGCACATCATATTGTTGCTGCGCCCGCACGCGATTCTCCAGCGACGACGGCGGCGAACAACACGCCGCCGAACGTGGTGGGACGGAACGGCAGAGCACCCGGCAAAACAACGGATAGAGGAGACCGGGGGGGAAATAAATACACTTGCGAAATGGACGCTCAGGGAGAGGGGGGGATATAACGTATCGTTATAAAAACCCGATGCTTTCAACGCCAGCCATTGGTCGTGCGGCGGCGGGGTTGTTTCCGTCACAAGCTCAAACGCCGCTCTCTCCGTTATCCTCGATCGATCGATGCCGTGGAATCGATCGCGCACCGGACGGCGTTGGTGATAATGATATGTTGACAAAGATGATGATGATGGCGATTATCTGTTGATGACACGAACAGCATCATCCGCGGCCTGCCGAGGGAAAAACAAATTTCTATCATTACGTCATTACAGCGCGAGCGCGGACGGTTAAGGTTTCTGCGACTGCACGGTGATCAACAATGAGGTAATCAACGACGTGCACATTACGCTCGTGCGTGTGTGTCTAATAAAAACACGAAACGTGTTCGGGTTCGCAAACGCGTGCACGCGGAACCGCGGAAAGGAAGCGACGAGGGGAAAGATGGTGGTGGGGTTGTCAGTCTGTGAATTCGGAAAACTCTCCAACCATCTCGCCGCCCACGGTCCGCGAATCCATCCCTACGCGGAGTTGTTGACTGCGGCCTCGCGGGAATAACATTCGACGTACACGCACGTACGCGAACAATCAATGCACGCACAACTCCGCGTACAGTGACATTATTATTGGTAAAATATACAATGTGCAGCACGGGGTGTGATGGCAAAAGAGACGCGACCAATTTACATAATTTTCCGATTAAAAATTATTAGAAACGACAAAAAAACGCATGACGATAGAATATTATGAATAAATAATATTGTTCATGCTCGGTGTGTGCCCTCGCGTGTGCACGCGAGGCACGTGCAATATTACAAGTGTGTGTGTGTGTGTGTAAGCGGTGACAACAACCGCTACGTTTTAGAAAACCGGTAAGGAAAAAAGTGTTTTTAAAAACTACGCGATTAATCAATCGATACATTATCTTGCAGTGACCCATAAAATGTAAATGATGCATAAATGATGGCGACAAAAAAAGTATATATTATCCGCGACGACGGATTTAGAAACATGGAGGAGAAATGGCACACGTAGGTAAATAATAACACTGCAGATTGCAGTTCCTGGAAAAATATGCGTGCAGCATACCCGGTAACGTATTTTGCAAATACGGGTACATTCAGAATCGTCTTGGTCTTTATTTTGTTCTATTTGTTTATTCAATTTGTTAATTGGTCTTTATCATTCTTGACAAATATTTTATTATTTGAAAAAAATCACATATTTTCCTAATTATTGTTCGATCACATATTAAGTATTATTTACATATTATTTATAATATACTATAACACATGTTATACTTATAATTTGTTTTGTTTCATGATCTACGTTTTCATGTTTAAAAAAAAAACTCAATATTATTTAATACAAAAAAAGTATTTAAAATGTCATCGAAAATACTTCATGCTAAAAGGACACAATACTTAAATTCTTGAATACTTTACTTCAATAATACTTATAGTTCACTCGTATTTTTTTTTCAAATCGCTTATAAAATACAAAAATATGAATTATGAATTAATTGCATGCCAATCAACTGTTGGGTGCAGTCAAATTTAACACTGCGAACTTCCATGGATAATAAAAATAATGTCCAAGAATTTGTTAAAATGTTTGGAAAGTTTGATGGCAGCATTTGAATTCTTGAGAATAAGATGAACAAGGGTAATAAATGATAATAAAATTTTTAATAAGAATGTATAGACCAATGGTAGAAGGGTAGTTTTGAATGTACCCATGATGTCAATAGTCGTATTTAATGATGCGTAAATATGGCGCGGATCTTTCATCACTTCTCATTGGTTCATCTATTATCGTGATATCAAACTTAATTTGACGATAACCGAATACTTGATTTTTTATCAAAACTTTTTTAGCGAAAATATTTACCTATTAAATTAGTGTCGATCCTAATTTTTCATGTTATCAATCTTTAATAAACACTATTATTTTAAATAAGTAAGTTCTCTACTATTTACAGTATAAATAAATTACTTATGAGAGTTTATGCAATCATGTTTGACAATAATTCGATGAGTTATCAAAGAAGTATGCGCTTATCATAATATACAACGAATAGAAAAAAGGCGAAAGTCCAGCGACATATTGTACTGTTGAAGTGATGGGTGGCGAAAGAGTGTACGTATCGTAAAACCATGAATCACAACTATTATCTTATGATAATGTGTCCAGGTTTGCAAAACACGTTACCCGGTATACGGTTCGCACGCCAAGTCGTTTTGACGAGTGGCGTAATGCTTGCGTTCAGCGAAACACAAACGCGCGTGAATAGTAATGCTACGGCGGAATGTCGACAAGACCACGGCGGAGAGAACGGTATATGAAATGCCAAACGATAGTGTTGAAAAACGCTTTTCACGATAACTCGATTCGGGAATATCGTTTATGTATTATTTAGGTCCGTTGTAAAACGTGTTCGCCAAACATGGCAAACACGACATGCACTAACGCTTGCCCGCCATGTGACACGTGCAATAAAATATATATGAAAAAAAAACACGTTACAGTTAATAGTCCTAGCATACGCGTGGACATTGCATATGCTAAATATTGGACGGATTCATTTTTGAATAATAATTATAGTATTTCGTACATTCACTCGAAAAATCCACGTTTTTTCTTTTTCAAAACATTTGAATTATTCATGGACATTCACATTTCATCCGATTGTGTACATGGTTACATATTAATTAATACTAAAACACCATGATGATTTTGGTTTTTTTTTTCAAGCTAAAACAACTTTCAAAAAACCATCATCTTATATCATAATGTATGTGTATTAAGGTTGTTGAACAAACGTCATGATAAATGAAAAACTAATGAATATTGTTCAAATACACATCATATACGTATTATCTAATATTTAAACAACATAATATTGTAAACATTTATTTAAATCATATTAATTAATTAGTAGATTATAAACATTATACTTAAAATTAATAACATACTATTATTATTTAATATTAAACGATAAGAATAAGTATTCGCCTAATGGGTAGAATGGTAGGAACTTGCTTTGTTATTATAACAACTCTAACTTGATTTTAAATTTCTAAAATTTTTTACTTTTTCAACACGAAATCTCTATTGAAGAACGAATCTTCAGGCCACAAGTCCCGCTCATTCCCGCCTTTCCTGGTCATACTGGATTTTCCTTCATACATCATGCTTTAGTGGGTTGACTAAATATGACTGGAATATAAAGTATTCCGTGTAAGAGAAAAACACAAAGAAAAAAAATTATATTATTTATTTAAAAATTATTTATGAATACGTTTTTTTAAAAAAAAAAAATTAGTCTATGCACATTTAAATACATACAAGTATATAATATTTTAATCTCTGTTGTATGAAATGGTATTTAACCAACGTTCTGTTTTGCTTCGAAATATCCAGTAGCCAAGTGATCCAGATTATAAACTAATTAGTTTATCATTATTCACAATATTAGCTTTAAAAACATTAAAAAATACACAGTCGTAAAATAAGTTTACAAACATACAAAATAATATTTTATTTAAAATATTTAACCAAGAGGCATATAAAGAGAGCACCGAATTTTATATTATATCCATTTATCGTAAATTGTACATAACTCATTTTTTTTCAATAAACATGAAATAATTATATTTTATTAATAGTATATTTATTAGGGAAATAATATTAACCTCCAAATTATATTTTTCTTTATAAGCACAACTCACGAGCAGACATACCTATATTAGAAATTCAAAAAAAAATATTGATTTTATATTTTTTGAATAATAATTTAAAAACATCTATGTTGAAATGTTTATATTTATTGCACATAAAAAAACATTTACTTGTAAATATTTTCATTAATATAAAGTTTTAATAATTAATACGCTTTTCTAGTTATATGTATTTATTTTAAGTTCTGGGTAAATCAAAGAAACCATTTCTACTTTAATTTGTAAATACTGGGATGTATGTTGAATATTAAACTGCATTTGATAAAAATTCAAATAAGCATCAAACACTTGCAATATACTAATAATATTTATTAGAATAAACTAAAAATTTAAATTGAATTGAATCTGAAGCAACCAAAAATGTTATTTTTATAACATAAACAAAATCACGTTAGCTAAATATAATACAAATCTACAAACTGAAAAACCAATACAATGATTTTTTTACAGATATATCTTAAAAAAACAAAAACTACATTTTTATTATATTACACAAAACACACAAAGAAAAAGTTAAAAAAACGCATTACACATGTATACATATAATACATAGGATACTGTTATACCTTGTATTTCATAGCATATCAAGTAGAAATGAAATTGATTTAATGTAAACAATAGCACCGCAGGTGACATTGTGGTTGATACTATGAGATATTAAATTCACACATGGTGACGTATTTAATATTGGATCATAAAAAACTTTACGGTATAATATAACGTTTTACTTAAAATGTGTTACGTGAGTTTTTGTCAAATTCAACAAAAAAATTTCTATAAAATGTTTATTAATATAAAAATATACATATTATTTTTGTCTTGTAAATGTTTTTTATGTCATCATCTACACTCTGACTAATTCATCAAATACTTATACTTTATATCGGGGCCAAGAAGATTTTATCACGCCTGTGCACGAAAAATAAATAACATATTTCATCTCCACATAGAATATAAATATTATTGGAATATTTTATTAGAGAAATACTTTTGTTTGAATTTAGCTAAACCAGCATTCAAATAACGTTTCACTCAGTAAATTTTATTTTAAAATACATTAATAAATTGATAACATAAACACTTGAAACAATAAAATTTATTTAATCTTTTTTAGTTTTAAATACGTTGCATCTTAGAATGATAGTCAACATTAAAATAACAGATAACCGAGCAGATAACATAACGTACCTATCCTTATATTTGGTATGAATATTTTAATCAGTTAGTCTTAGTTGGTTTTTGTATACCGGGATTTTCTTTAAACGGGTTGTTACTTAGCATTTATGCATTATTAACTATATAATTACCTAACTATTTAGTTAATCATAACTAGTGTTCGAAAATTATAATTGTACTTATAATATCCTCTTAAAATTACTAAGATATGCAATTAAAATTATATTTAAAATTTAAAATATAAATACATAAATACATTTTAAATATTTATATTAATCAGTTGTACATTAGAAAAACTATTTTTCATCCGAAAAAGT